AAAGAGAAAACTCAGATCCTCCCAGACGTGCTGTAAGTATGGAAGCTATGCCCACTGCCTCTGCTGCAGCCTTCCCAAAGGCTGTAACCCAGCCTGGGCACTGAGGATCAGCCCCAGTGGGAAATTTCCACTGTGCCACTGCGGTCAGAAAGGCTTCTTCAGGTCGCACAGGGAGGCCTTTGGCTTAGAAAAAGTTGAAAATACATTCTTTGAAAATAAAATGATCCAAATACCTACATGGAGAACCCTTTTAACGGAGCTGAGTATTAATTACTGTCCGATCCACAAAAATCTTTCTCAAGGACTAAAGAAAGTGGATGCTTTTAAACATTCATTGTGTCGAATGAGGATCACACCTCTAATAAATAACTTAGCATATATACAAACCCTCACATTCTCTGTTGGGCAGAAGATCATGCTGAGTAGTTGCTGTATGACTTAATTATCAGAGCAATTTCATGTGATTGCTCATCTCAGCAGACCAGATATGGGTTTCTAGGATTCTGTGGGCACAGAAGGTGGGAAGATTCTTCCTGGTGTAGCACAGGAAGCGCTTCTTAGCACTGCAGGAATCTTCAGATAAACTTACTTGAGTTACAACTGTGGACTGGCACTGGCACATCTGGTTTCTGCTAGATGAGATCTTTTCTACTGTCATAGTCCAGAGGCACACACAGTGCTGTACCACAACCGTAGCAGGGTGCTGGAGTGATGTTAAGAGAGCATTTGAGTAACAGGAGGTGAGGTGATGGGCTGGAAGAATGAGGGGGGCTGTCAGGAAATCTCTGCAATCATGAGCTGTCTGTGCAGCACCTTGCATGAGGAATTCAGCATCTTGGACCCATGGTAAGGTTGCTGTAAACTGTTCAGTCATTTAATTTGTGAATCAATATCTGGATAGTGCCTCTGCCACATAATAAAACAATATTCTTTAATTTTAATTTTAATAAAAACTTTGGACAGGTTTCTCCATAAAAATCCCAATTTCCCTTCATCTCATTTTGTTTTCCACTTTTTCCCTAAAAAAGCAAGAAGCAATCTCACAGACTAGCAAGAGACACACAGTGTAAAATGCCTGATAAGTGGAATCTGATCGGTTTGCTGTTTTTACCAGGATTCAGACCAGTGCAAAACAGATGAAGAAATCAGCTGCTGTGCTGGGAGCCCTCCCAGAAGAAAGCAGAACTCAGAGGAGTTCTCTCCCTAACAGAAGGAACTGATTTCACGCAGTAAAAACTTGGGATGTTATATCATTTTAAAAGCACAGCTTTTCTGATTTAAATCTAGATGGACGGCACTTTACATGATTGCTGCTTTGGTGAAGAGGAAGATTAACATTTCTGCAATTGTTTTCGTGATCTCTATTATGCTATTTTTTGATTCTGTAATCTTAAAAAGCACGATGGCATCACAAAAGCTGTGTCAGCCCCACATCCCCTACCAAGAGTACTTAACGAGCCCTGATTCCAGATCCCATCACCAAGGTGTGGAGTTAACCTAGGACAACCCAAAGCACATCACAGGTCATCTCTGCTTGTGTTCAGGGTGACCCACGCTCAGGCACTGTATTTAGCACTGCTGAGCCATGCTCCTGATGCACGATGTTTCTAAATCACTAGATATGGCAGTTTGTAGTCATTCATCTACACCCTCATACCAGCACTGGGGTGGTTCTCACCAAAACATCTCACCATAGCTATCAATTATTTTTTAAATAATTGTAAATAATTATTTTCTGGAAGAATACAGTTCTACAAACACTAGGACTGTATCACAGGAGACAGTGTTACAAGCTCCTGGAGCTGCCAGCAGGCTGAGAGAAGCCCCAGTACAGGTAACCACCAAACCACTTTATAACTAGAAATTTTTCTCATTATGGGCAAAGAATGAAGTAAAACTGAGACTAGTTCCTAGGAAGGATACAGCTGCAAGAAACTGAATAACACATTGATGATGTTAGTCTTTCCCTGCAGAGCTGAAGTTTCTTTGATAATGTCCACATCCGAAATCTGAAATCTCTGCCCACCTGCCTCCAAGAGATGACCCTGCTTTTGAACACAGACTATCCTCCATCCCTTCCAAGGCAGTGTGTGAATGGCAGTCACTCTGACAGAGAGGAAAACTGGATGCCTTTCTTCCAGCTTCAGTCACTGCTGGGATTGAAGCTGCCTCAGGAATGATACAGAGTGCTGCTGATGTTCTTGTTCTCTTACTCCAGTGCAGAGCTCAGCAAGCTGCCTGCATTGCCATTCCCATGTGGCCTCGATGAGGAGCTGGATGCTTCTTTCTATTTTAAAATTTCAACTTTGATTAACTTTAAACATACTTGAACTGAGATCCTTGTGTGGGTTCTCAATAAAATAGCGTGTTATTGACAACTGCCCACAGGAGACCTGCTTCAAGAGCTCCTGTCTCTGGATGATTTGTGCATCACTTATGGGGAGCTCCAACTTAATAAATCCTGACATTAAATGTTTTGTCTTGGCAAATGTGATTTACTGTGAAGCTCCCGTAATGGCTCAGAAAATACTTTAAATCTTCAGTCTCTGTAATCCTTTCAAAGCCATAAAGTAACTTTAAAGGAATGAGGAGTGCATAGGGAAGAGGATGGGGGAACTGCTTGGTGCCCTTGTGAGACTGAAGCTCTTCATTTCATCAGGCTCTTCAACTAGAGATTTGAGCTTTGTCTTTGTAAATTTGTGTGTGCTTCATTGTGTATGCTTGCATACGTCACTTGCCAAATTCAGATTAGAAGGTACCTATAATCCTGATTTATACACTGTAGGTACCAGATTGTAAATAAAATGCCACACTAGGCACACAGTAAGAACATGAGAATGCTTCCACTACTCATTTAGCTCAGCACCTGGATGCCAGTTGCTGCTGATAGCATATGCCAAGGAAAGGTTATGGGAACAGGTGCAAGCTTAGCGTGCAGGTATTGTGGTGTGCTCTCCTGTCTTTCAGCATACTGCAGTTTTGAAATTTGTTGACCCAGGGAGGTTTTTCCATGTAGTTTAAAGGCCTTTGAGATTTTTTTTTGCATTGCTTTTTGCTATTTAGCCATTCATAGTTTTGTGGCCTAGTCATACCATGAAGGAAAAAAACCAAACATGTATTTCTTGTACATTCTGAATCCGTCATCTGCTTCAGGAATTAGGGGTCACTATTGCAACTGAGAATAATAGTTAGAAGCAGTTTCCTATTTACCTACATGCTTCTCCTGATTTCATATCCTTTTTTTTTGTGAAAAGTTTTTTTCATTCTAGAAGCTCATTTATTTATTCTTTACACTGGGGCCATTCCACAGCTCTGAATATGCCTCTCACATGTTTATGTCCTTTTCAGATTGGAACTATCCATAGCCTGAAAGCTCAAATGATAAAACACCTCAACAACTACAGGTTCTTAGGAATGATGCTAAAGAAGAAAAAACTGCAATAAAATCTCTTTCTTGGTTTGTTGTTTTTCTAGAAGCTTTATGGTGTTTCTTTAAACTCCAGTAATTATAAGGCTGATATTTTTAACAGCACTCAAAGATACACTGCATTAAGTGAGCCATCAGAGTTTCTCTCCACCCTCACCTGCAGATAGCAGCTGTGTAGTAGCAGTGGCTCCAGAAGAGCTGGGATTCATCTCACCAGCATTTGATATCTACTTCTACAAGTCCATTTCTGATCTGGTTGCTCAGTAACTCTGTGGAGACAATAGGAAAAAACAGAAACTACCAGGAAGATCTCACAACACAGTGAGATTCCTTCATTCAGACAGATTAAAGTATGCAACCCTCTCCACTTAGTCTGGCTGAGTAACCCAGATCCTTATGTCTGAATTGGGTAAGCCTTGCCTTATTTCTTGTGTCCTTAAATGCCTGTGAAATGTTCTAGCCTCAGTTCCTATGGCCATACAGCAATGACACATTGTACTGTAATGTCTTGTCTGTCTGTTCTGGTCTTTTGCTCACAACCATTTACAGAAAAAGAAAGAAAGAAAAAAGGTTTTCCATATATTAATTCCTTTGTATGATGAGAACCAATGTATGTTCTTCGGACTGATTATCCCATATAACATATATATAACATAATATTATTACAAATTATAGCAATACTTTGCACAGTGCCATCCATCTGTCTTTCTCAAGGCTGACTGTGAACTTCCCCTCTGTCATCTCTAACAGTAAAGAAACTTGGTTTAAAATGCCCTCTAACAATGGAGGCAGTACTAGGGATCAACATCTCTTCACTGCTTCAATTCTCATTCATGTGGGGAGAAATTTTTTCTAAATTCTTGGCCAACCATAATCTGGAGGTCAGCATCCGAATTAGGAGACTTTTATTTTGTTTCTACAGGAACTGAAAAGCCCAGGTTCCCTGCCTGACAAACGACTGAATGATTTAGTGAAGTTCTTTTCTTCCATCTATTAATTTTCTTCAACACGTTTTGTTTCAGCCATTGCCTCTAGTCCAGGAGCCATCTGTGACTCTTGCAAATGACAAGTGACTTCCCAAAGAATGAATACAGAAGGGTTTATTCACTACAGATTTTTCAATCGCGTGCGTTTCACATACTGACTTAAATTGTGACTCGTAATTTGGCTGATGCTTCTATTAACTTACGTATGGGAACTGCTGAATCACGGTCTGAACCTCTGCTGGACCACCTGAGGCGAGCACTGAGTCAGCCATGGGAACACAGGTGAAGGATCCAAGTTGAAGGAGGGAAGATTTAGGTTGGATGTTAGGGGGAAGTTCTTTACAAGGAGAGTGGTTAGGCCCTGGAACGGGCTGCCCAGGGAGGTTGTGGATGCCCCGTCCTTGGACGTGTTCAAGGCCAGGTTGGACGGGGTCCTGGGCAACCTGATCTGAATGTGTACGTTTGGTGGCCCTGCTAGGCAGGGGGGTTGGAACTACATGATCCTTGAGGTCCCTTCCAACCCAGGTGATTCTGTGATTCTGTGAAGGCAATTCAGCTGTGCTGCCGGAAGAGGTGGAGCCTGGCTGTGCCTCTCCTAGGGCCATTTAAGAGCTGACTGCTACTGAAGAAGGATCTCCTCCTACAGGTCACTTCTTGTGGAGGACATTGTAAGCCTACAGCATTGGTAAGCGTTTTCCATTTATTATCTACCTGTTGCAATAATCTTACTTGGCTTAACTTTCCTGTATAGTTCTTTATTATAATGTCTGTATATTCACTGATTATATGTCAATTATATATTATTACCTCTTCACATTATATCGGTAAATTAATTAATAAAGATAATAGGCTATGAGAAAATAAAGAACAATAATAAGAAAAAAAAGTAATGTAATACTAATGCTAAAACAAAGATGATACCTGACAGTATGTCTTTTGATTGTCAGGCTAATGAATGATGTGTGCATTGTGAAGGTCAGATAAGGCCTCTGGTTACAGAAGATTCAATACAAAAGCCTGAAGCAATTTACATTTTTCTTGTGCTTCTGATTTCCTAATACATCTGCTAAAGAGGCAATTTGACAACCAAAAATGCTCAGGGCTTTTTGTCCTCAGTTGTCAACTGCTTTTTGTTTGGTAAAAGCCCAGTGGAAATAAAGGGCTTCAAATAGTCATTTTGTTAACACAGAATTTGGGTTTAATACGCATATGTCTGTACCCAGTGGTGCTTTTTGCACTGCTCTTTATAAATTGAAAGTTCCTGACGTGAGGAATATGCAATAGGCACATGGGACCTCATCCACGTTCTTCTATTGCTTATGCTTTTTAAAAGAAACTCCTCTTGAGCAATCATTAAGAGGAACACAATGTGAAAAGGTTTTTTAAAACAAAGAAGCAGATGACTTGAAGTATTCTTATTTGCACTTTTTCTAATGAACTTCATTTGAGTGTGTACGTAAATCATTTATTTTAAGTTTATCTAAAAGTGTAATTAGAGCTATCAACATGGGAGGGAAAAAATCTCATCTAATATCTCCATGAACAGTATTTAAATCAGTGGTTTTGCAGACTTCTAAGTAGGAAGGCAATAATGTGGTGTTTTTCTTTTCTTTTTTTTTTTTTTTTTTTTGGTGACTTAATTAATGCAGAAAGTAAGGGTATGTAAGAGCTGATCTATCAATTGAGAATATTGGTTTGCTCATACTTTACTCCTGAGGCAAATGAAAAAAGCTGGCACAAAACCCCAGATAACTATGGATTCTGTTGGGGCTGGGATGTTTGCTGTGGAATTGGATTGGTTTTTATGCTTTTGTTTGTTGGTTTTTTTTTTTTTTTTTTTTTTTGTGCATGCTGTTGATCTTTTAGAATAACCAACTGCCACTGAAATACCAACTTCTTTACTTCAGTGGCATCCAGGAAAGCGTTCAGAAGTGTGAGACAAAACGTAGAGAGTCTGCAGACTAAAGGCAAGCAACAAGCAGTGGATGGACCAAAGATAGTTCCCTCTGGACATAGCATACAGCAACTAAGATTCATGTTCAAAGGGTTCCATGTTACAGTTTCAAACAACAGCTTACCTGCTGTGGAAAAAAATACTGCAGAGACATGCTTTATGTGGACTTCGTATGTGCAGAACGGTTTGATTTTGTCCACTTAGAATTATTGGATTTTGTTCTGTAATGCAAATATCCAACCTATCAGGACAGACTCTGTCTTTGGCATCTGGATCCTCATTCAGGTTGAGATATAAAACTTTGTCTGGACTGAAAGAGGACAGTGGCTATGTTTTTAATCCCAGTAGGCCTTATCTGGGCAGCAAGATGTGAGATCCTGGTGAATGAGTTGACTTGGGAGGAATCTGCAATGCTTCCCAGGCTTTCTGGGCACAGAAACTTGCAGTGGACAGAAGTGTCTAAAGAGAGATCTTGTCCTTGAAGTGTGAAGCCCATCATTATAAATGAAACTGGTACTAGGCAAGAATATTTTTCCAATCCAGGACAGCCAAAAAAGTAGGTATTAGAAGGGCAATGCTGATCTCTACTACGAGAGTGAGGTACCTTCTAATCGTTGCTGTAATTGACCTTTAACATAGAAAAAAAGACTTGAAAATGGTAAATGGAAAAGAAGAAAAATTGCGTAATTAAATCAAGCTATCAAATTGATTTACAAAAGAAGAAAACCCACAAAACTATTAAAATCACTTCCTGAAGGATAGGGTTTGTGATAATTTGCAATTCTGACCTTGTTTCTTATGGGATTGCTAATGATTCGTTTCTATGTTTTCCAGGGGAACTGAATTTTGCAAGAATAATAGCTGAAACTGGCCTTCAGACCTACTAGCTGTAGTACTGGAAGAAGATTGTGACCTTGAGTCAAGTCAATGGATGGTAAATACATTGTGCTTAAAAAAAACTGCTGGAGAACATCAAGGAGAGAAGAAAACTGACCCAGTGCCTAAATCTCTAGTCCTGGTCTCTCTTGAACAGTAGCTCATTATACCTACCTGAAAAGTGAGCACCAGGATTTATTCTTACTAAAGTGTGTCCTAATTTTTAAGCTTTTTTTTTTTTTTTTTTGTGATGCCAGTTTCTGTCTTTTTTTCTGATCATGCTGTAAAACCTCCAACTCACTCCTCCCACCTTCATATCTCCAACCATTTAATTAACATTTTCCCTTTCCATCCTTCTGCAGATAATAAGCACAAGCTGTGAAATATCCCCCTTGATTATCAGAGCGGACTAGCAGTTTCCAGCCTGTTTTACACCTCAGCCTATTGTTGTATTCAGAAACTTATTTTCAAAGCTTGCTTGTGAGAGCACTCTATAAAGTAGTGTTAAAGCCTTGTTCCAGGTACAGACAGGGTATCTTCTGCTTCTCTCTCATTTACAAAGCTGCAGGAAGAAATGTGAAAGGTCTGACATTAATTCTTGCTGAGTCCATGTAGCCACCCCTCAGCTTTTCCTCAGCTCCCATCGTTCTTCCTCTTGCTCTGGTTCCTGGGCTCTCACCTCTGCAGGCCTTCTGCTCAGGTCCCTTCCTCCAACAGAACTCTTTGCTTTCTATGGGATGTTCCCACCACCCTCCTGATTTACAGCCTTCATACTTTGATTTGCATTTCCTTTTCTGTCCCTTTTTCCAAATATTGGAGTGCTTTTCTATCTGTTCAGCAAACTCATTTAAAGGCTTTCGTTCTTTGTGTTCCACTGCTCATGTTCCTTCCTCAGTATTATTCTCATTGCTGTGCCTATGTTCCCCCTATGCCTCTACTCCCTCAGACCACCCTATGACTTTTCCTCTTTTTTTTCTCTTCTTCCAAGACCCCCACTGCCATTTCTATCATTCCTTCTCTTCTTGCTAATTCAAATCAACAAACAAAAAATGCCTTTCACCTCAACTGCATGAGATTATCCTCTGCCACTGAAAGCTGACAGATAGAAACTGTTTAAATATCTTTGTGGCTTTTGAAAGTGAAAAGGAAAAGATTAAGCTGCATTTACTGCTTTAATTTGGAACTCATGAGCACTACCATAATGCAGGATTAGGTTCACACAGTTATTTTTTAAAGTGCATAACAATGTTCCTATTTGCTCATCTAACAGATCATAGCAATGCAGTCATAACTTTTTACAGATGACAATGATCCTTAGGCAGAAGCCTTCAAAATAAAGCCTTTCTGAGTTTCCAGCTCTTATAAAGTAATTATGTCTTGTACTACATTTACAATGGAAATGGATGAATTCGGTCCAAAGAAACAGATCTTTTCAAAGGAAATCAGAGCAAGGGAAAGCGGCTCTGCGATCTCAGAGTTCACAAAGAAAGCAGCTGATCCTGCCTACACAGTGGGAATTTCTTTTAAAAAGAAAAGTCTAATTACAGCTGGCACTTTGAAGCCAAGTAATTCTACTTTGCTGAAAAGTGACATGATTCTTCTGACAGTGCAAGCATGGGGCACGGTGTGCAGTAGTCCCCATTCTCTCACTTCTCATTCAAATTAAATACAATATTACAGGATTTTTTTTTTAATTTTTAATGTCAGAATTTCCTTCTAGAGTGTTGTGCAGGGGAGAGGGCCTGAAGAACAATCAGGCCAGCCAAACTCATGGAAAATGAAGATCTTGTTTAATCCTTTCATAATGGTAATAAACTTAGCACTAGTATTTATGCTTCAAAAGTATCATTTGAAGAATTTGCAAATGGTAATTTTAAAATCTAACAGACAACATCAGAAGGTAAATCCACTTAAAGAAATCATATCCTCTAAAAATTAATGTCATTCTCCCTACTTGCAACAGCACTCACTTTAGTGTTTCCTATAACACTTCAGTGTCACTCCAATTGGTGCTGGTGTCAGAAGCATGACTGAGAAAGCAGGCCATAGCGGTGTTATCTGGGAGGAAGGGTCCTTACAGGTGAGAAACAGGTGCAGGTGGCACCTCTGCAGATCACTGGGGTGGTTATCAGCTGAGGGCTGTCTGTATGGCCCCAGCCTTTGGACAGAGAGCTGGAGTACCAGACAAGAAATAGGCGAGTAACAAAACCTGTAATGTATGCAAAGAGCAGACCGAGGGATGTTACTCTCTAGTTCTGCCTACTTTCTAGCAACCTAGAATATGGAGGTAAACCTCCTGGTGCTCCTGAGTTCCCTACTTGGGCTTGGATTCTCACCAAACACGAGCTTCCATTTTGCACTGATTGTTGCTTCTCAGCTGCAAATGTCCTGAATGGCAGAATCAGCCCGTATCTGCAACCAGGCTGCTTCTGAGCTGTCTGAAAAGCAATCAGAGGTACATTGTTTGCAAAAGTCCGAGCTTTAAAATATCTTTTTGCTCCTTGACAGTCAGACAAACAGCTGCACAACATTAACACAAGAGAATTGCAAAAGTTTATGTTCTTTCAGGCTGATAATAACAAAAAATCAGTTTCTTCCCTGTCTGCCAGATTTATCCATCATGAATGACAAAGTGAAAGAGCATGAAAAAAAAAGGGAGGGAGAAAGAGAAGGCAAATTGTCTTCCCTCTGTGTACACAGCTCAACCAAAGCATTTTGCAATGTGGCTCACTGCCAATACTGGAGGTGCTTGCTCCAGGCAGCGTAGCCCCTGCCATGGAGATGCGGCATTTGCAGGAGGCAGTTATAGATATTCACAAGCCCTATGCTCTATTTCAATTCAAATGTTGTATATAAGCCCCTCAGACTGGTCTATAGAATGATCAATCCTCTCGCTGAAAGGGAACACGTTTATAGACCAGTTCAGATGCCACATCTCCCATGAGGCAGCATAAGTTTCCTAGATCAAACCAAGGAAACGTTTGGAACAACATTCTCTGCTTTCCAAAAACTGCATGGCCAGAACCAAGCAGTAAGTCCCATTTGTGTTTTGGTCATACCCAGAGAAGAATGTCTTAAAAGCACTAAGGAATTACACACTTGATTATAAAGTTCTGAAAAGATCCAAAAAGATCCTGAGGTTTTGAATATTGGGAATTCATGCTTTGAAGGCCTCGACCTGTCCAGACTTGGGCAGCACTCAGTGATAAGGAAGGCATGTCCATAGAGAGAGATGGGAACAAAGGAATTCTCCTCTGACAGCACATTTGAACCCAACTCTTACAACACATAATCATGAATCTTGAGATTGGAAGATAGACTGGCTTGTGACCTGTCCTGTGGAAGAAGTGCTTTGTTGTATGGAAAAATTAAATGTGAATTTACACAAATGATATAGAGGAAAGAAAGAAGAGGAAAATGATTTTTCATCCTCACAGTCCATCCTAGACCAATGCTATCTGGTATTCAGTCCCTGTTCCAAAGAACATCCACATTTTGTTTCAAGATACGGCTGTTCTGGCTTGTAATAAAATGTGATTTCAAACCCAAGAAGTGTTGGACTGCACAGTGAATGTGCACTTAAAATTACTGCATTTGGGATGTGATCATTTTTAAGGAAGATAACATCTGTTTGAAAGCTGAAAAAGAATTGAGCTCATGAGTTTGCAGGAACTTATTAAATAACAGAAAACAGATTACACGGAAATTACAAGCATTATGAGAAATGGAGTCAAAGTTTGCTAACACTTCCACACTACAGAGAGTGCAAAGAATGTTTGCTAATACTTGTTGGATCAAGCTAGTGGTGGCGTGTCCCCACTGAAATAACAACCATGCAATTTATAAATAACATAAATTGCTATACCATTGCATCTTGTCCTTGCAGCTTTTCTTTTCTCCTAGGACAGTTTGCACCATATTTGAGGTTTCTTCCTCTCTAGTCATGGGGACCTATGACATTGATATGCATGGTGGTGAAGTACACACTGTCTCCCAAACACAAATAGCCAAGGTCTGGGATGGGCACTGCAGGATAAAAGCCTGCTGAGAACTTGTTGACTTTGGAGCATCAGCCCTGCTAGAGAACAACTTCAGCCCTCAGAGGGATTTCAGAAGTAATTTGAAGGGGACAAGTTGGCTTTAAGTACCAGGATGAACAGCATTAATGGAATGAACAGTCATTGAAGGTACAGGCCAAGCAGAAGAGTATGGGATAGGGAGAAGTGGTGAAGGGAGGAGTGCAAAAGGGAAAATTGATACAGTTAAGCCCACAAAATGAAAGGTTTGAGAGCTGGCAGCCTAGAACATGCCTCAGTGCTGGGGAAACTCATCATAGTCATGCAGTAGCGCAGCGATTCTTCATACTGTCTAATAAACTCTGTCAGCTGCATGAAGTGACCATGTCTACAGCTCTCAGATAAAATTAGACCATTTTCTCATAGGAAAATAAAAATACATTGGATAAGAACAAACAGGAACTTACTTGTATTTATTTTAATTCATTAATGTTAGTTGCTGTAGCATTCAAAGGATTTCCCACATAAAAATAGTAGAAAATGATAAAATAGATGTTAAAAACATGTTTTCTTCCATTATGTACTTTTTACTGCTAAGATGTTCACTGACAGCACGTACAAACAAAGTAGCAGCAGTCACTGCTGCTTTCATTCTCTCTCCTCTGTCAAGATGACTGGCAAGACCCAGCCAGCAGATTCAACTTCTTCAATAATGCTGCCCTTAATGAGTTTGTTTACAAAAGTTCTAGTGGTATACTCTCACTGAGCACTTGTGGCATTACAGCTTCTGTTGGACAAATGCCTTATTGGGTTATATTTTAACTTTTTTGCAAAAACTTTTGTACACCTAAGTATTTGTTACTCAAGTCATGCAGAGAAGCAGAAAACTTGCTTACTATGCTAATAATCTGAAAGTCAGATCTCTCCTAGATCCCATTTAAGTGCTGACTGCCACTGAGTAAGGATGTTTTTCTGGAGATTGCTCCTTGTGGAGTTTACTATGAGCCTACAACACTGGTGAGTATTTCTATTTATTTTGATTATCTTTCCACCACAGTAATCTTACTAAACCTAACTTCTGTATACCTGTTGGTTGTACACCTATTGATTGTACAATTGTATACCTATTGTTTGTACAAGTCCCAAGCAGATAATTTACAAGTTCTTCTGAAAGTGTGCCTTCTAATGTATTTTGGACTCCAGTTCTCCTGGTGAGAGTGTCTGCAAATAGCATTTATTGGAGTCTGAGTCCATCATCAGGTGGAGAAAAATCTTTTTTGTGGAACTGGGTCAGGACAAGGGTATGGAAGCCCACACTTCAGTCAGCAGAAGGTAAACATGTACTACATAACAGAAAAATACACAGAGGCAACAGAAAAAAAATCTTGAGCACCTGTGTGCAAGGGAGGAATAATTTTATCTCAAAGCCTTCCATCAATTTCTGTGCGCTGATTTAGCTGATGGTGGATCTAAATCTCTTTCCTTGTCATACTTAATATTTATTTAAGGCAGAGCAATTTAGGTGTCTATCAAAACCAGACAGCAGTACTTAGGAGCTGCAGCACTTTTTTAATCTCTTCCCCAGCAAAATCAGTTTTGCTAAAAGAAGCTGTGACCAACAGTTCCATAATCAGTCCCCTGCAGTTGTCAGCTTCTCTAATGCATAAATATGACCTAGCTATGCTGTCTCCCCAAGCCTTTAATCATCCCTTTTGACTCTGAGATCCTACTGCCCTATCTATGACAATTGCAAATCATGCTCTATAACTTCCCTTGGCCATGTGCCTTATCAAGGGAAGGGGTGGTTACTAAATCTCATGTAGCTCCATGACCTTTCCGAAGCTACCAGCAAACTGCTCGTGCAGCTGTCAGCTGGTTGGTTCGTGTCTGGCTAAATTTTTTATTATGTCAATAACAATCAGCATCTGTTGTGGGTCCCACACTACTGGGCAGATCTTCAGGTGTGCATTACAGCTCTAAGAGAGGGGGCACTCGCCTAGATAAGGCCAGGGGGCTTCCTTTTTCGTTGTTGCTCTGGTTTTGTTGTTTGTATGCATGAGAAGCGATGCCTCTTCTGACCACCTTGGACCAGACTTGACTAACATGGCTAATAGGAAAAGCTATCCAATGAAAGCTAAAAGTTCCTTGTAACTTAAAGTTTCTATTAAAAGGATTAAATTTTAATCCACAGTGAACTTGTTGTCTTACACTTTACTGAGTTTATGTTTGGATTGATCTGTCATTTCCCTGGAGAGGATGAGGTCTCAGGAAGGACTGCAAAGTGCTGACTGTGCTGCTTATCCTTTTTTCATCTTTGAAAACTCATAAAATTTTATGCAAGAAACTGTTGTATCTGCTCATGTGACTTATTGTATGACACTCTTCACTGAATATTTGAGGATAAAGACTAAAATCAACTTTAGATAAAATGAATGGCACAGGGATAACCTGTAGAAACCTCAGGAGAACACTGCTGGCAAAACAGATGTGTTCTGATCTCTCTGAAAGTAGGAAGGGTATAGAAAGGTTTCTGGGGCTTCCACAGGTAGCCTTCACTCTCCTGCACTGAATAACATCTTCCAGAAGCCAGCAACGGCATTGGAAAAAATGTCTCTGATCTCCAAGCAAGACAGACAGTAAGGTCAGCCTTTTTTTTTTTTTTTTTTTTTTCCTGCTATGCCAGGGACATCCCAGGTGGCTCCAGTCAGCACCCAGCAAACCACAACATTCACCATCCCAGAAAAGACGTTATGTCAGTCTCTTCTGGATCATAACATTTTGAAAAATACACCAAGGATGGAATTTATTTTAAAGTAGAGTGATCCACTGCACAGGAATGGCTTCTGGAGAAACTCCTTCTGTTCCTGTGAACTGCTGTTCATCCATGCAAGTCCCAGTACTTGCAGTATAAATTTATTTCACCTCGGTTTCTGGTATCAGGGATAATAATATCACACCTGGACATAAATGGTAACAGGACACACTTTAAACTCAGACAGATTGCAGTGCTGTAGGAATACACTGTGCTCAAGCACTACTTATTGCCAGGATTCACAGTTATGTAATAGACCTTAGCTTGCTTAGGCAAGGATTCCTGTGATATTTTTAGCCAGTTTTTTTTTTCTCCTTTTAGTTCAGAGATTCAGAACTCCTGGAGTTTTCAATCTCTGGATAGGTTTCCTCCCCTTGTCTTTCTCCTTTAAATAAGAGCATTTTCCTTCCCTTTTTTCCCCGTCCTGCCTGTTGAGCTGTTCCTGTTTATGGGATGTTAACTCAGCACAACAGGAGACTGTAAAGCACTCAACTCACAGATAAGACATTTCACATTGTTGAAACTCCTTGAAAACTGAGCATCTAATTCCTACAGCATCCATAAAAAAGTGTACAACAGTTCTAAACATCAAACTGCTGCATTCAGTCTTCTTGCTGCATGCTTACTGGACAGACTCAGATACAGCTGCCTACGTAAAGGCCATGGAGAGTAAAGCAAATTGCGAGTCATCCAACACTGACACATGACCTATATTTCTCAAGATAGCTTAAGAATCAGCATCCTATCAATATTTTATTCATACTTTGACATCAGATTTCCTCCAATATCAGATTTGGTAAATTTTGTTACAACACAGTTTTTCTTTTACTGATCTGACTATCAAAATGATAAACATCTTCAGATTCTGAGCCTCCAAAGTCCATGCAGAATTTAAAAAAAAAAAAAAGAAAGTAATGGAAATGACTATAGTTGGTTCTAAGTTGGGCACATTTTTATGATGTTTTACCCTTTTCTCATGCTCAGGTTTGGGGCACTGACAGTGAGCAACTCCCAGGTGCAATCTCTATTAACAGACCTGCTCTAAAGTTGCTCTACTCCAGTAACACCTGGCTCCCAGTTTCAGTATTCATTCCTTGCTTATCTTGCATTATTACATATGTCTAACTATGTTCTGTTTCCTCCTGTACTGCTTTAGATCTGGGATTAACTTAGTTTTGGGCACTGGCACAGGCTGCCCAGGGCAATGGTCATAGCACCAACATGACAGCGTTCAAGAAATGTCTGGACAACATTCTTGGACATACATTCTAATTTTTGCTGCTTTGTACCAAAGGTATCTGTTAAGATCTTTGCTATTACTGAGAACACTCCATAAATTAAAATAATAAGACAGATAAAATAAAGTGTTACCAAATCTTAATCTCTGAAAGTGGTATGAAATATTTTCCAGTAAATAAAAGCAGAAAGAACTGATGATCTAGAGCTTTCATCTTATTTATGTGAAGGGCTAAAATAAACCTAGACACTAAACTTTGATGAATGATAAAAATGTGTGGTCTAGAAAATAGCTAGCATAACATAGGCATGTGTTAGACTTCAGCTGAAAATGTGGACATTTGTTAGTCACACACTTTGGTGGGGGAATTCACCACAGTTTGAGGGGCTCCATGTTAACTTCAAAAGGAATGTAGCTATTTCTGTTCGTTATTACAAGAAATCATTTGTAGATCTAGATTTCTCTGGAAAGAATGCTAACATTTCCAAACGTCATAGGGCAGTATTGACATATTCTTTGGAAAGGGATCACGTTCAGTTTAAAATATAGATTCAAGTGCAGTATTTTGGCAGACACAAGCGATTTTTTTTCCAGGTGAAGGCACTGAGTAATTGGTAATATCTTTTTGGTTTTTTTCCTCTGCTTTTCCATGTATAAGGTAAATGTGGAAGAATAAGCATATTTCCCTTCCCATCGAGAAGAAGAAGAAGATTTGGTTCATGATGAAGGTATTGGAACGTCTTTGAAAAACTTGCTCTAGCTTTGTAGAACATACAAACCCAGAAAAAAAAAACAATGCTTAAATCTTGGATGCTTGTGGCTGAGAGAAGCTTTTCCTGGGACACAGTCATATCCCTCCTAATGCTCATTCAGAACAGGAGAGGAGGACATTTGGGCAATTGTATCAAGAGGAGCACATGGAGGCATCAGGTTTTATGGCCGACAGGACACCTTCAGCTAAACACAGTAGTGGGTTTGACAGCCATCAAACAGCTTTGGTTGGAAGGGACCTTGAAAATCATTAAGCTCCAACCCCCTTGCTGTGAGCAGGGTCACCACCCACCAGCCAGGGCTGCCCAGCTTGGCATCCAGCTTGGCCTCGAATGTATCCAGGTGTTTGACTCAGAGATTGTGAACTGCTCCTGAGCAGCATTAGCATCACACTGAATCTCCTAACATCAGGCAAACATCTAACATCTGATTCTAGCATCAGCAGCTGGCTGGACACGCAGGGTAGACAGGGTAAGGGGAAATCCAGGATCGAAGTGACATATGGTCCAATAAGTTGTTAAGTCACATCAATGTTATGCATAAACCTCATCTTAAAAATTAAAAAAATAAAATATAGATTAAAAATTACCTATTACAGTGGTATCTGAGCATTACATTCACACTGAGTTCTCACCAGGTGTTCATTCTCTCTGCCTAGATACTGATGGTGAATCTCAACACTCAGTTCAGCTGACAAACTGTCACTTTGTTATGGGATATGAGATGGTCCAGAACACCCCAGACACATCTGTATGGGGCTGAGAAGACCTGTGGGGTTACCCATGCACTTCTGGAGCCAAACAGATCTGGGGTATTCCAGATGTTACTACATACCTGTATGTAGGTAACTGAGTCCAACACTGTCACTGTTTTATGTATACAGAAGAATTTAAAAATATATATTTTAAATTAAAAAGTACAGTTTCAAAATATTTTTATTCCAAGTGGTGCCTTGAGAGCCTTGTAGGGTTTTTCTGATGTCAGTGACAAGCTGAAAATCTCATTGAAGCAAATTCCTTCTCTTGTCCCTTCAGCCATTTGCCTGTCTTTGCTGTCTTGCCAGATTTCATACTCACTTGTTTGTTCTTAGCTCAGCAGATGAAGACTAGTTTAGAAACAAATGAAAAAGGAGTAAAATGCATGTGCTAAATAAAGTAATGTATGTTAATGGGCATCCTACAATTTCTTCCATTTTAG